CTGGTCAGTGGGTGGAGCTTTTATAMTGTTTGATCTCTTATCTCCAACTTAACCTGGAGCAGGTCAGCTGATCATCATAAGTTACCATGGTGATTTACCCGATAACAAGGGAACGAGCTTCATGAAGCTGAAAAATCGGAATTAAACCTGAAGTTAACCTGATAACCAGAAATCCTGCTTCACAGTTCAGGGCCCTGGCCTCTCTTGGTTTGTTGGTTTATTAGTTTGTGTATTTGTTTGTTGTGTTGTTGCAGGGCGGAGCTTGCTGAACATGGCTTCAGGTTCTGTACAGAGTCTCTTGAGGCCAAACTGCAGAAAAACTTCGACCTGAAAGCAGAGGAACAGACAGGTGAGACAGTATTCACATCAACAATACTAATACATTAGTCTCACAGATGTTAACAATGACCATCATCCTCTGTTCTTAACTCAACAAGAGTCAAAGTCTGTGACGCTCAGACACCAAATGCAGCTCAAAGTGTTTGACATACAATAAATAAAAATAAACAACTGTTACAATGTAATTCATAAAACATTACTCACGTTTTTCACGTAAATCCCTTTATTTATGTCACTATCATGAATTGCATTTTTCACCTTATTCACAATATTAAGGTTTTTAACACTTTTCCTGTTATTAATGTGATGAATGTTATTTCCTTTATTCGTGTTATTAAGACCTTTCACCTTGTTGACATTATTAATTTTTCACGTTATTGACATTTGTCCTATTCAGTTTTTTTTTTACGTTATTCATGTTAATAACTGTTCCCTTTATTCACATAATTCATATTATTTTAACATTGTTAGCATTTTTCATTTTGTTCGTTATAAACATTTCTCACATAACCAACGTTTGTTTGGTGACGCTGTTCATCGTCTGCAGAGGAGGAGGAGGCTTTGAGAAAAGAGACCCGCCTTCTCCTTGGACTCTGCCTGGACTCTCGAGCTCGATACCGAGCATCAACATGGCGCCTGAACCAGGCCAGACAGGACTATGAGTACGCACTGAAAATCTGCCGCCAGGAGCAGGGAGAGACACACCCACAGGTAGAGACACATCCACGGATAGAGAGGCGCGTTGCCCAGAGACACGCCCACATGTAGAGACACACCCATTTACTAGAAACACGTCCACAGGTAAAGAGACTGATGTTTACGTCTGATGTCACCATCGTCTTGTCGTCTCCTGTCAGACTCTGGTGCTGATGAGCGACCTGGGCACCATCCTGGATCTGCAGGGTTGTCATGACGATGCCCTTGCAATGGTCCAACAGGCCGTGGATCTGAGCAGGTCCGCTGGACACCCGGACCAACATATCCTGCTGGGAAACATGGCCGGCATTCTGCTGCACAAAGGTAAGGACAGGTCAATGTTTGTGGGGACATTTATTAAGATGGGAGATTTTTTTAAGACATTCTGTCTCTGGTCCTTCAGGGCAGCTGGACGACTCTGTGCGGTACTACCAGGAGGCTCTGGGCCTGGCCCGGCAGGCAGGAGATCAGGAGGCCGTGGACAAGATCCAGGAGGGACTGATGGAGGTGAAGAAGAAGAGGGAGCAGGGCATGAAGAAGGAGCAGGACCCTGCAGAGGACTGACTGTCTCAGGGTGTCCAAAGGCAGACTGGATGGTCCAGCATGTTAGTGACCCTGTGACCTTTCCACAGAACGTTCTCACACTGTTGTTGTCTCAGTCCCCAGAGGATGAACCTTCCCATAAACACCAGAGCCCTGTACTATGAAGCAGGATTTGTGGTTGTCAGGGTAACTTCAGGATTTATTCCTCTGAGGAGTTTCTGAAAGATCTAGATTCTCCTCAGAGGATGAACTTTTGTCAGCTTCTGGAGCCCAACAGAGCCAACCTGACCCGTAGGAGCAAAGTACTCACAGTACCACAGACTGTCTACATGTACTTCACTTGTTACCTGTTCACTGTGGCTGATGCAGAGGAGCTCAACACAATCTACAGCTGCAACAGGCACCTTCCCTTCTAGAGATCACTGAATTCTACACACTGAACCTTTAACTTAACAAGTTTAAACCAGCGTCATGTGACCACTTAGCCTGACTGTGATTGTTAGGTTAAGTTCAGCTGGATAACTGAAAGAGATCCTGGATGTGTTGAGTAGTAGTTTATGTAGTACAGGGCCCTGGTTTATGTTTCAGGACTGTGAGTTTCTGTCTGAATAAAACTTCTTCCATGTCCTCACTTATTAAATGTCCTCTGTCCACACTGATGTGTTAAGTGTCATTAACAACATGTGACACAACAAACAGTTCACACGCACAGGTGAGTTCCCACAGAGTGACGCGGTTAAACTTCCTGTTGTGTTTACTGAACATATCAGATTCAAAGCACAGTGACGACAGTAAACAAACACAAACAGGAATCATTGTGCTGCTACACAAACAGTAGATTAACTACACACACACACACCAGCACACACTTTCACATTCCCATCCCCTCGACACATGTGAAGCAGTTGTTGTGTCAACAGGTTCATGAGCTGATATAAAAGCAGCTTCAGATGAAGGGACAGTTTCTTCTGGACGACGGCTCCACACTGACGAGGTGAGAACACTGAGCTCCACAGTGAAGCCTGAAGGTCAGAGGTCACTGCTGCTCTACTGAACAAACAACTGATGATCCTGGAGACAGATCACATGACCAATCTGTCATCAACAATGTGTTTAAAGATGCTACGTAGCTAAAGTTAGCATTAACATGTTCGGAGGAGGAAGAGGAGTTAAAGAGTGTGAATAGCCAGGGGGCGGGACTAACTTTGACTGACAGTTGGTTGCCATAGTGACCTTCAGCTGATTTTTGTTGGACCTTTTTGTCTCAGTCTGTCCCCACCTCCTTTCTCTCTTCTTTTCTTCTCAGTCTCTCCCTCTTTCCTCACCCCGTCTCTCTCTCTCTCTCTCTTTCTTTCTTTCTTTCTTTCTTTCTCTCTCTCTCTCTCTCTCTCTCTCTCTCTCTCTCTCTCTCTCTCTTTTTCTTTCTCTGTCTCTCTCTCTGTCTGTCTGTCTCTCTCTCTGTCTCTGTCTCTCTCTCTCTCTGTCTCTCTGTTGGTTTCAGTCTCTTTCAGTGCTGCAGGGACGCTGAGGTAGGCTCCAACTCTTCCCTGTTTCACACACACACACACACACACACACACACACACACACACACTCACACTCACACACACTGTGTTTTGTGTACAGAGTGGGGATCGTGTCCTCAGTTTGAAGTTCATGTCTCTGAGGTAAAGTCATTGTTGATGATGCAGAAGTCACCACAGTTCAGCTGCTGGACTCTGTGTAGGAACCATGTTGAAAAGAACATGTGCATCAGAACATCATGTTCTCTGTCTGTTAGCACCTGAGGAAACATCTGGCTCCACATGTCAGAGGCTGTTCACAGATGTTGAGCTTCATCAGTCTGATTAAAACACAACAATTAAGATGACTCATCATAAATATTTGAAACTAAACTTCTACTTTTTTTGACTCTTGATCTCCAGGTTCTGCTTCCTGAACTCACCTCTGACCTCTGACCCCTGAAGGAGACATGAGCCATCATCCAGAGTCTGTGGGTCCCGGCGAGGCCCTCGGTCTGTCTGCAGTGAGTCTCGGCACCGATCGATCAATAATCATTATCACCTCTGTGTCAGTGTGAAGATATGATGCTGTTACTATGGTAACAGCTCATCATGAGAATACTCAATAAACATTCAATCAACACTTGATTAATTCCTGAACATTTTTTGATGAATACTATACTTGATCAAAACCCATTCGCCAGCAGAGAGATGTGATCACATGACTGAAACATCACCGATTCAATAAAAACCATCAATAATAATAATGATCCTGTTTAACAGAGTAAAGTAAAGTATCAATCAATCAATCAATCAAATTTTATTTGTATATCGCATATTCACAAATCACATCATAACGAGCTGTGACATCATCTGTTCTTAACTCTCAACAAGAGGAAGAAAAAAATACCTTTTAGTAGTACTTTATATTGTGACATAGAATTTTTGTGCTGTGTTCAGTATCTATCTGTTCGGAGCTGTAACCTCCTGACCCCTGACCTTGACGGACATGTCCTCACTCATCTCCCACAGTCTCTGTCTCCTCCTCCGCATTGCCATGGTGATGAAGAAGAAGAGGACCTGAACAAAGCATTTGATGTTCAGTGTTTTCCGCAGATCTTTGGTCCTGCAGCGGTTAGTCCGCCAGACAAACACAGAGTCTACGACGAGCAGGATTTTGAAGGTGAAACATCAAAACTTAAGAACAGGTTCTCAGGTTCTTTATTTGGGTTCCGTCATTGTTAAGATCCTGCAGGAGTTCGGGGTGTTTCAGGAGGTTCTGGTGATCTTAGAGAAAGTTTTAAAGGGAGGGTGTTTGTAGAGATTACATCACATTGATCATCATTTGTAGAGAAAATAGGAACATCGGAAAAGGTTCTGTTTCTGAGAACATTTCAGAGGGTGGAACCTCTCCGGAGTCTGGTTGAAGGGAACATTACAGAGACATTCAGTGAGTTTGTTCCATCTCGGGTTCAGGGTGTTTCAGGAATCCTGAAGATACAAGTTTCTCTTTCCCTGCCTAAAGGATCTGATAAGTGGAGGATTAAGGGTTTCAGGTTCTTTAAAAGTTCCACTTCTGATCCTAGAACCTCAAACATGCACCGTCTGGTTCTGTCTCTACTGCAGATCATCGTCACTGTTCTCTCCATGTCCAGCATCCTTTGTCCAAACCTCCCGCTGACGTCAGGAGGAAGAGGACCAATGAAGGCAGGAGGGAGGGGAGGAGAGGCTCCGCCCCCAGCGCCGCAGCCACCATAGAAGAAGACCAGGAGGAGGAGTCCTGCAGTCAGACCATGGCCTCCAGGTGAGGAGCACACCTGATGCGTTGGTAACATCAGGACTCATCACATTAACTCGTTACTCCTCCCCCTCACAGAGACCTGCCCACCACTTCCACCAATCACAACACCCTCTCACGTGGCAGCACCATGATGAGCGTTGCCACTGACGACGCTGATGAGGTTGGAGCGTTGATGTCCGTCGACTTGGACGGAATCAAGAGTCAGTGAAGAAACACACACACACACACACACACCAAACACACACAAACAATCACACACTACTCACACTACACACACAAACACATGCAAACAAACACACACAAACACATGCAAACACAAAGATGGTTTCTGACATTTTAGGCAGTTCTTATCACACTGAGATTTATTTCCAAATCATGGACAGGCTGGTCCTGGATCTGAACCTGATCCTGATACTGATCCTGAATCTGACTTGTGAAGACATGATTTTACGTCTTTTGGTTGTCATTTGGCCGTTCATGGTCAGTTTGTGCATTTTCTGCTGTGAGTAGCCACAGACAGATGAGGACAGATGAGGACAGATGGGGACAGATGGGGACAGATGCGGACAGATGCGGACAGAGAGGGGGAGAGAGAAGTGCACGATAGGAGTTTTGCCTTCTGGTCAAACATTACTCAAGGTTCCTCACAGTGGAGCTGGAGGACAAACTGACACCAAGGTGACTCTGTTCAGACAGTGATTCTCTGAGATGTTGAGGGTCAATGACAACGACCTCAGTCTGAATTAGAAGTAAGAAGTTCTGGCTCATCCAGGCCTTGATGTTCCTGAGACGTTCCTGAAGTTGAACTAAGTGATTCGATTCATCAGGCTTCAGAGAAATGTACAGCTGGGTGTCGTCTGCGTAACAATGGTAGTGTCTCTGGTGCTTTCTGATGATGTTGCCTAAGGGAGCATATATAAGGTGAAGAGTATGGGTCCAAGGACAGAACCTTGTGGAACTCCATGACTAACTTGCATGTGCATGGGGGGGGGGTCATTGTTGACGTTAACAAACTGAAATCTATCTGATAAATATGATTGAAACCAGTCTGATGTTCCTCTGATCCCTTCATGTTGTTCTAGTCTCTGTGATCTTATGATCTATGGTGTCAAACGCTGCACTAAGATCC